TGACTGGTATGTTTGTAAACTTCAAATTGATAGCTTCATATAGAAACAAGGGAAAACATTCCCAAACCTTGCAAGTAAAGTACTAGTTGGAGGCAAAATTAGGGGCATTGTATAAATAAATAAATAAACCAAATAATCACACTCCCCCTCTCTTCCTCTGCCACCTGAAAAACAAACCACCAAAACCCCAACAGAGCTGAAAGGAAGTGTCACTTTGAGCTCTCTTTTGTGGAAAATAACCTGGACAGCAGCAGACCGCTGACTTCTGTCACCTTTTGTGACAATGCCAAGCTGTTGAAATGTGCAGGCTGCTTTTCCAGGTTACATTCATTTAACTACTTTAAATTACTAAATTACGTTATTACTGATGCTTCTGAGTGTCAGAGCCAGCTTCTGGTAGTGCACCAAACTGGAGGACTAAAGCAGAAACTTTCAAAGCTCGTGTGCCTTGCAGCTTTCTTAATGGGAGCTTGGGGTCTGTTAACAGACCTCTCATTTATAGCACCAGTTCAGCTTCTCCATCCTTATTAATGCAGGAGACCTTTAAAAATGAAAGACTGTAGGATGCTGTCTACTCTTCTAGAGTTTCCCACCTTTGTAGCACAATCAGCAGAGCAAAAGCCTTTCTCTTTTTTGCTATAAAATACTGTCTTGGCATAAACCTATCTTCATCCACAAGTCAAGATGCCTCCTCTGCCTTATGCTCCTTCTGACTGAAACAGATAGCTGGTGATGGCAGTAGCAAATATATGTCCTTGAATACTCTTCTTTGGACTAATAGGACCATTGGTGGCTGAACAGAATGACTAGCACGTGACCACGGGTCAGTCTTTCATTTTTAAATCATTTTGGAAAGGAGAAAGGGAGCAGAAGTCTAGAGTGGAATTGATTCAGCTCATAGATTTTATTCTCTGTTATAGATGGCAGCTTTGTACAGTATTTTATGGCACAGCATACTGTCTCATGAGGTTGCTGAAATTTCAGCAGAAATTCTTCTGTGTGATGTGGTTTTTACTTTGTCTATAAATATAATAGCAAGAACTTCAGCTACATCATGGCCAGATTTGAAATGGCTCATCTTTTTTCAATTAGTTTATTCTTTTTATTGTCACGATTATTCATTTTCTCTTACGTGGAAAAAAGCTACATTATTTTAGGGAGTGTCCTTTACTTCTTGAATTCTTGATGTAGTTAATTCTCTTTTGTTTCTGCTCTAACTTAGTCCAAAACCACTGTATTTTTTCTTTTCTTATCTTTCTGCTCTAAGTATTAAGTACCAAATTTTGGATTAAAAACCTCCACCAATATTTGCTTCTGTGGTGTTACCATTATATACCTGTATGATGATGTTATTGATAAGTGTCATTGCTCCTTAAGCTCCAAACAATCTGATCTGTGGGTATGAAAGATTGTGTTAGTTTTAGCTTTTTTAAGAAACCAGCCTTATTGTGTGAATGTGAAACAATTACTAGTTGCATTAAAAAGTTTTAACCTAAAGAGTAAAAATTGAATTGCAGAAACTAATAAATTGGAGCCTCAGGTTGGAATAAATTCTTTAGATTTGAATTGTTGGATTCTTTGCAAGGACAAATTTACTATTCTTTGTAAAGAGTACAGCAAAATAAAATGCCAGCAATGATGACAAAGTTTCTTATACCTTTGGTTTCCTGGAAAAATCATGACAAAGGCACCAGCAGTCTAATTTCAGCAGTATGTCGTATTCTGGAGTATCTCAAACGTCTTTCAAGCAGCTTTCAAGTCAGTTTGTTACATGGAGATAGATGATAATGTCTTGTCATGTTGTGGATAGATCTAGCTATCTTGTTTATTCTATTCTCCTTTGGCAAGATGATAAAACTGACAGATTCAAAAAAGAGGTCAGCAGGATTAATTAATAAGCACATTTGACCCCATAAATCAGAGTATTATGTGTCATCCACTTAGTCTTTAAGTATGGTACTAAGGAAGTACAAAATGTGTGTCTGAAAACACAATCTGGATTATAAGTGAAAAGGTGGAATATTAAGCACATCTTTGGTTTTTTGTTCTAATGGTTAGCTCCCTTACAATTAAAACTTACTTTATTTTGAATATGACTTTTCTCTTAACTTTGCAGCTGTTGATTTTGTTATACTAATAATTTTGATGTGTTTTTCTATGTTAAACTTTTAAAACAGCTAGTTTTTTTAATTATTTGAGCACTGGAGTTTTCATGTACACAGCTCGATCTTTCTAATATTCAAAGCAGTTTAGGTTCTTTGATTCATACTGTGAGAAATTTTCTCCTCCTTTCAAATAACTTCTGTGGCTCTTCTCTGTACTCTGTCCAATTTTTCAACATACTTTAAAAAATGTGGATACCGGAACAGGATGCAGCATCCCAGTGTCCCTTGCAAAGGTAAGATTGCTACCTTAAACCTATCGTGTCCATATGTCCAAAGGAATGTATAAGTGCTTTTTCTCCCTTTTTCTTGGCATGGCATCACATCTGGAGATGCTTACCTACTATAATAACTACTCAGTTCTTCCGAGTTATTTCTTCTAGGATTTTGTCTTCATTCTCTAGGTCCTTCCTGTAGATGGCAAATGTAGTCTGGCAGTAAAACATAAACTTGGCCTTGAGTTGAACTAATTCTTTATTTATTTATTTATTTAATATTCAAGAGCATAGCTACCCTCTCCTTAGTATTTAGTTTCAGCATTCTTGGTGACATACGTATGTTTACTCTAGAGACTTGCTGAAAATGTTGAATACTGTTGAGTCTGGTATCTGTTGTCATATGTAGTGAGACTTCTCCTCTAGTGAGAAAAGGTTTGTGCAGATGGGAACCACAGCTCTTACTGTCAACCCCAGAAGCACAGTCAGTGCTGCTAAACTCAAAGATAGAGAGGAGGATGCTTGGAGAAATTGTGAAATGCTATTTATTTTCCAGTATCTCTATTTCTTAACTTTATCTCTGCAAAGCAAGAAATTGTATAATTAAAACTGCAATAACTATTTAATAAAATTCCGATTTTGTTTGATGCTGTAAGTACCAGATAACATCTATCTCAGTAAGCTTGAACAGAAATAAAAAAAATCTCTATAATTATATACAGTGGCAGGTGAAAAGATGGTAGGAGTTTTTGAGACCCACGATTTGCTTTTGTTTCCCTACTATTTGGTAAGACAGTTTGGGTCTTACTGGGCTTAGAAGTCTGAAATGTGGGTGGAAATAGCAATGAGCAATGGAAACCTCTTGGATTCTTTGGGAAAGTCCCCCTTTCAGATGAGGATCAGACTACAGTGCTACATCATACAGTTTATCCCATGGTATGCTTATTTTTGATAACTAGCTGTAGCTGAGTCAGTACCCTCAAAATAGATGGTTTCCCTGTGAATAACATAGCAGTAGAAACTTCCAGTTTTTACAATTACTTTCAAATGCATTCTCCAATCATGGCTAGAAAAACAGATGTTTTAGGGGTGGCTGGATGACAATGGTCTTTTCAAAGTCTTTGTGCTATGTGGCTGGAACATGGTAATGGGATTAATACCCAAGGAATAAGTACAGATTTATATCTTTGGTTTTCTAAGCCTAATTTCTTACAGCACTTCACAAGATGCACTTTGGGGAAAAATAAAATAAATTTTTTTAAAAATTATACTTGTAGTAAGTAGAGGAGCAGGAAGTGAGCTTGACTTGCATATGAAAGAAGAGTCACGTAGAACAAATTTGTCCTTAGGCTCTAATTAGAGTGGTAATGATTTTTTTTTTTAATGGTGGGAGTTGGCACGTTCAGTGTGTTTTTGTCGTTGTTTTTCTTTCTTTAACTCAAAACTGTAAGTTGCACAGCAAACTTGTATGCAGGTTTTCTTTCCATCCCTTTTGGCTGTGATAGTGTTCACCTCTCACTGATTTCACGTTCCTTCAGTATATTTGTGCTGAACTGCCATTCCCTGATGCCTCCACACCCCTCCTTGCTCCCTGACTTCACCTAGTCATTCGGTTACCACAATAGCGTTACTTCCTTCATCTCTGTAGTGTACGTATAGTGCAGCGTACATACCTATCAGATGTCTTAAAAAACTTGTAGCAGATGCCCCAAGTCACAGACTGAACAGATAGTCCCTAATGAAGCTAGCTCTTTTTTTCTTCTATTACTTTAAAATCCCAACTCTTGATCCCCCCCCACCCCCTTGCATCTGATCAGGTAGTTTTATATTGGCATAATTATTCTTGTGCTAATAACTGCCATTCAGAATTCTTATGCCCCAATGATATGTTAATGACCCTGCTTTAAGTAAGGCACGGCAGCGTACTCATCTGAACACTAAGTGACATAAGCAGCATATGTAGAATCGAGTTGCATGTTGCCTGTTGTTCTATGCTTGGAGCAAAGCAAGAATTTTCCTTGAATGTAGGTGCCCCTGGGCTGTTGCTGTGCATACATTCTAACATGTCTGCTTGAAACGTCAAGTTTTAGGCAATAAATACGTAAAAATCTGTGTATTCTCACAATACGTGCAGCTGTTATTCATAGAAATAGCACAGGATGTGAAGTTTTCTATAATGAAGACCTCAAAGAATTTGTAGAAAAGCTCATGACTGTTATCTGGACAGTGCATGGAGCACTATTGTGGTGTGAAAAAGAACAAGGGGTTCCTGGAGTGCTAAAGTTTGATATTCAGGTTACTTCAGTGTCAGCTGAGGTAGAACAGCTTTATTTATTGTTTATGCTGACAGTACTTTTCTAATAAACCCAGTAGAAATTGAGGTGATGCCTCCAGAACCTGCACTGGTGCTTTATGTGTATGTGCTGTCTGACTTAGTTCGCAGACTAATGTGCACACATGCTGTGTTTCCTGTGTAATAATCCTTGCCTTTTGTATGTGATAAACTGCATAGAAAGTGGGAAACTATTGCTGTAGTTCTTGTTCTAATCTTCTGTTTCATCACTTCTAATAAAAGCAAGCAAAGAATCATTGTTTAGTAATGCTAATTAATTTATTTTTTTAGGATCTGGTCAACACTGGACTCAGCACTTTCTTCTTTTTCATTGCCTCTGTAGTACTTGCTGCTTTAAACCATAAAACTGGAGCAGAAATTGCTGCTGTGGTAAGAATTTGAACTTCTTTATATATGACTCTTATTTCCTGTTAAAATTAAGAATAACTTTTCCCTTTTGTTCATTGAATACTTCTGTTGCCTTTGCCATCACAATTTACTTCTAATTTTACAGTTGTCTATAAGCTAATTCTGATTTAAAAAGTATTGATGTCCTTTGAATTGTTTGTCTTAAGGCTTGAGGCAAGAACCAACAGAAAAATGACTTGCCGAGAACGCTGTAACGGTTTAACTCGCCTTGCTTCTTTATAGCTAGCTCAGGTGATACTGCTCTATATTGCAAACCTATGGAAAAGACAGAGTTAAAAATTTACAAGAAATTGCAGCTGCTTACACATAGTTTGATGAATTCTTCTTGCTTACTACAGGTCCTTTTTGTTCTGTGGAGTGAGTATAGTAGTACTTCAAGATTTTAAATCTAGGAAAGGAAGGTCAAGCAAATTAACAAATTAATTTTGTGCTTGAGTTGGCAACCTTTTTTTTTCTTTTTTTTTTTCCTTCCCCCTTTTTTTCCCCCCAAACCTGGACATTGAAAATCACACAACAGTTCTGCAGAAGCATATAGGAAGAACTTCAAATTAGCTCCTTTTCCAGGCTGGTGGTCTGGACGGGTCATCTGTTCTCTTGACATTCATTCATTGTTATGTGCATGCACTCTGAGGAATGAACAGTTGGATGAAGAGTTGTATTCTTCTTTACAAGAGGTTCTTCCATTGAAGTTGCATTGCAGGATTTAATTCTCATGTTTGTAGACAGAGAACTTTGTTTTCTGGGCTCATTGATCTTAGTTGCTTTTGCCGATTCTCTAGTTCGTTGAAGAAAAACATCAATTTTACAGGCTATGATGATTTGTCAGTGCAAATAAAGTAGAAAACTAATCTTCTGAGGAATTTGTTGTGAAACTACTATTGTTCTTGTTTTCAAAAATTGTCTTTGACGATTCTTTCTACTTCTTGTAGATATTTGGTTTCTTGGCAATGGCAGTGTATGCTGTGAACACATATTTAGCTATTAAAAAGTGGCGAATGAACAGCAGACAACAAAATAGTCGGCAGACCAGTGATTACATACGTGCTCGGACAGAATCCAGAGAAGTAGATCATCGCCCTGAGATTCAGCGTCTGGATGCATGAAAGCAACATTCAAGTGGGACTGCAAAGGGAAAAGAAGTAGTGCTTAACTCATCATGGAATAAAGGGTTTTTTTCTTTATTTAAGGAAGAAAAGGAAGATCAGATGGTGGCAAAGAATGCCCAGCCCAGCATACGTGCAGAGATGGATTGAGTCAGAAGCTCTTGTCATGAAGGCAGTAAATGTTGATCATTCAAAAGCAAGATGGGTTTAAGATGTCCACATATATATACACATATATTATATAGCTTATATAATATATAATATATATATGTTTTGAAGTATGTTATTGTTTTGGATTAACTGCACAGTACTTTCCTTCCCTCTCCCAAGTCTAAGCTCCGAATATACGTGTTCTGCCACTGTTTCTTCATCTATTGTAAACACTAAGACCAGCATGACATTGGTTAATATAGGAAAGAAATCCACCAAAAGTAAACTTAGTACATGCAAAAAGGAAGTGAGGGACAAATAGCAATAACTTTAGCCATGTATCATGTCCAACAAACTCTCTGTATCCATCCTCATGCAGCCTCAGCAGTGCAGCTCAATTCTCATCTGCAGCATCTCCTGCAGTTTCACCTTGGCGCACTTATATAGCCGAAATGGACAACTGTCTCACATTTTTTGTTTGATGGATATAGTGTTGAGGTGGTTACTCTGAAATTGCCATATTCAGTTCCTGCATGACCTTGGCCAGATGTGAACTTGTGCAAAGTTAGCCTGTTGACTGAATGGTCACCATAGTGCTTCAAGTGCAAGTATGTGGTTTTCTGCTAACATTGGGATATGTTCTATTTCCCTTCCCAAGTGGGAGAATAAATACACTTGGGAGGTAAAATGGAGAAAAGGGGGTTGAGGGGCACAGAAGAGAGAGAAGGGGTTGTCATCCAATAGACTTGCATTCCAGTAATGGCTTTTTTTTTCTTTTTTAAGGTTCAGCCTTTCTGAGAAGCCTAGGGTAAGCAAGAACTAGCAAAAAATTATGATGTGCTTGTAGTGTTTCTAAGGTTGCAATGTTGTGATTTGTGTAAGATAAATATTTTCCTTATTGGAAGGTTGGTTATTTCTTCTAAAATTAAAACTGTTGGTAGTAGGTAAAACTTTTTTTTTTTTTAATTGTGTGTTTCTGCAAATTTTTTCCCTAATATTTCTTTGGAAATTCAGTTTAGATAATTGGTGGATAATATGGTTGTATTGATTTATTTAGAAATAGCTGAAGTTTTCTTATTTTAATCGTATTTCCAGCGAAGAGAATGATATTTTTACTACTTAAAATTCAAGTTCTGCAGTAATCAGTTAGACAATATCATAATGTTATTAGGAAGATGTCCCTTGATATTTTTCTGTTTCTTTAATGTTTTTATCTATGCAATCCATTATTTGGCTTATGCCTGCCTACATGTTACATGAAGAAAATGTGTGGGGGGAAAAAGATCTCTAGGGCTGAATTCCTTTCTGGTGTAAAATGATGAAGTCTTTGAAATTAGCAGAACTATATGCCACGTATGCCTGAATTTATCTCATGTTTGACTTGAACACTTTTTGCCTTGTGTTCTTATGTAGCTGTAAGTAGATGAATTCAGTTAACTTGAGTCTTAAGAACAAGCATCAGTACGTTGCAGATAGTTCACTTTTAAATATGGAAATCAGGTTATACCAAACAGAAGATCAATAGAAGTGCCTGGGCTTGTTAATACCAGAGGGAACTGGGATAGTGACAGGTGTGAACCTAACGATGCAGTGTTTGAATCAAGCAACAGAGAATTATTTCAATGTGTGAAAAACCGGTGACAAAACTGATGCCTTTTCATTTTCGATTTACTGATGTCTACAGTGCATTTCACCTCAGTGGCTAAGATGGAGATTAAAATTCAGAAAGAGTTATCAATGAGGTTAAAAAATTGCATTTTCGTAACGAATAATGGTTTACCAGTTACTGTAATAACATTTAATGTGCTTCATTGAAAGTTAGTGCCAAAGGGAACAAGAATTTAAAAAAACCACTGAACCATACAAGCCAACCTTTAGTGTTGGGTTTAGAACAGAAGTGTCTTATTGAGGTGGTGTCTCACCAGGATTACTGTGCACTTCATGACAAGTAAGTAACAGTTCCATGTTCAACGTAGTATGAAATAACAAAGTTCATTATTGCCAGTACAGTTGTTATAGCCCTGCTGTTTTTCAGGACTCTGCCTAGTATCGGCAGAGTTTGCAAGGAGAGTTCGTAGATATTGTCAATTATTAAAAGAACCTTTTTTAAAAGTAGCACAAGCATACCTAGACTGGAATTGTAAACTGGCATTAAAGCAGTTTGTGTGAAGATTGTTAAACCACCCCCCCACCCCCCCAACCCAACCAAAAACCCACCAACCAAAAACCAACAAAACCACACCAAAAAACCGAAAACTCCTAACTCAAATACAGGATATTGTCCTCCAGAAGATCCATGCTTTTAGTGTGGAACCCTCATCTGAAATCCAGAAGAGAAGTTAGGTAGTGCTTAGCAGAGGCTTCTCATTAGAAGTGTGTCCTGTTTGCTGGTTCATGACAAGGACTGAAATGGTGCGTACGTAAGAGAACGCCCCGTTCCTCTCCTGTACTCCCTCTGCCGATTCTGTTTCTTCAGAGGTGTGGGATATCTAGGGTGTCTATAAATTTATGAATTTGGTGTCTTTTAAATCCTCACCTTTCCTTCCCTAGAAGAAGGTTAAATTTGCTGAGCTTTTTTTGGAGTGAAATAATGAAAAGCTTTTGTTATCTTTTAGCTGGAATGACAAATGCAGAGTGATACAGTTAAACTTCCAATACAGTCTAATACTTCATCATGTAGTATTGTGTACCTGAATGACTGCGCGCTTTTATGTGTGAAGTAAGTTTTCTTGAGCTGAGAACAGCATGCCATGATTTAATACTTACATCATGACTTGAGCTTAGCACAGCTTTCAGGGTAGAATTAAAAAATAATATTAATTTAAAAAATACTATCTGATACACTTTGTAAAACAAAAACAAATGTAAATTTGTAATTTCCTTATTTTGGGGACCAAAGATAATTTTAGTGTTGTACAGTATATACTTTCCAAAAATCTAAGTTAAGCATTTATTACTCTACAGAGACACTATTTACTGTTTGGTTTATAGAGAAGTGAAATAAAGTAGCTGTGAGAGACAACTAAATTTGAAACATTAAGATCATATGTTAGATACACAGTTGATATTTGCCTGCCTCCGACTTAATTTTACATGGTATATTGAAGAGGTGGTAATATTTTAAGACTGTTACCTAAACTGTAGTCAGCATAAAAAAACTCCAAAGGAATAAAATATGGTAGAAAGTTTGTTTTTTTTTTTTTAAAGTTGCTTAGAAAATTGGCATTAAATAATTAAATTGCTTCTTCCAGACAGTCTTTCTTCTAATTGCTGAGCGTATAGGGTAATTTCTTTTAGTCCTTAAGAGTTCTGTTTAGCTCCATAAAGGGACTCAAAACTTACTGTAAATAAAACTAAATTAAAGCTAAACAGTTGAACCTGGTAGAAACAGGATACTTCAAACTGTAATAGTTCTGGTTAGTTGTCTTTCATCAAACTAAGCCCTCAGATGTGCAATCTCCATGTATTTCTGCGTGTAGAAGTGATGGTAAATTTTGCAAGCTACGTACAGACATTAAAAGATTAGACAATAAGATATGATTGGAGCAACAGCAGAATAACTGTTGTAAGAATATATTTTCCCTTTAATGCTACGTGTGCTCAGTTTTATCAGCCTTAGTTCCAGTTTGTCATACGGTCCTGTAACGATGTGCGAACTGCCTACAATAGGAGTTTCTAAAACCATAATTAAGAACTGATTTGACGGTTTCATTGCTCCTTAGTAAAGTTGGTTCCTTCTTTCTCTCCACTTGTTCCTTTCATTTAGTGTATTCATGCCTGATCTGTTTTATGTTTTAATATTTAATTTTTGTTAAGCCTTCTTCATTGATCTGTGTAGTGGCTGCTTCAGTATAAGGAAGATAAGAATACTGTGTCCGACGTCCTTTCGCTTAAGTGTGGTACCTTTCCCTTTTATGATGTTTGTGCTGGATGTGCTGGGGGAAATTGTATTTTTTCCCCTAGGACTTTGGAAGCTGGCTGGTGTACTGCATGTGTTTCTGTGCCAGCTTTCTGGTGGGAGCAGCATGCTTAGAGGTTGGGAGAATTAGAAATTCATCTACCTCTGTCTTTTCTGAGAGACAAGGTACTGACTCTGTAGATTTGATGCCTATATTTCATCATGGGCTTTGTATTCAGAAGCATGGCATCAATGGGCTGTGCCTTGGAAGCAACTTCTCATCTTTTACCTATAAGATGTCTCTTACATGTGCAAATAAATCAGTATAATGTGGGGTACTTCTTCATAGGCTTTGTCACGTGTTTCACTGTGCATCTCATGGTACCATCTATAATTGTTTATCTGTTTGTATTTCACTGTTGATTCTAGAAAGAAGAGAGGGAAAATGGGGAAAGTTTCCAATCTTCCCTAAGATAATCTTATTTTGCTTCCCCCTCCCATTAATTATTATTTTACCATATGACGATTGCCCCTTCCTAACACAGCAGACTTACTGGTTCTTAAAATGCTGTGGAACGCAGCAGGAGAATTGATCTGCTGCAAGATGCATGTGGACTGTTATAAGTGAATTAACCACTAGTTTTCCATGAATTTTAAAGTCCGTAAACAAATTTGATTTATCACCTTTGTGCTATTTTGGGGATGTGCAGGCACAGCAAATGCTTATCTGATATGTGGTTTTTATTAATGCAGCCCTTCTCCCACCGCCCCTTCCTTAGTCCTTGTTCTATATTTGTTACTTTCTTGTCTTATGACAACTTTGTAAACGTTCCTACTAGTTCTCTTTTGTGAGGAAACCCCCCAAAACCGCAAAATAAGTAAGAATAATGTTTTTAGAGAATAACTTAAACAAATAAACATAACAGCAATTCAAATAGTATGGAAAATTATATCCTCTCTCCTACTCAGTTGAGATACTGAACACCTTTGTACATGAAAATCAGAGCATAAAGAACAGGTTTTACACTGAAAGCTCTGGAGCCAAACATCTTTAGCTGGTATTTAGGATAAATTAAAAGTTAGGCACAATCTGGTCATGAATTTTAGATGTGATAAAGGGTGAGAAGGAGGGAGAAACCCAAACTTGATGCATAATAATCCAGTGCTTTCAAAAAATGGTATGTGAGCATTAATCCAAATTGCAGAAGGAAAGATTGCTTCTGCACTTAATAGAGAAGGAGAGAGACACCTTGAGTCAGTAGTAAAAGTAGGTGTAAAAATGTTTCTCGGGGCAGTGTTGGCTGTATAATACAGTTGGTGAGATTCTACACCAACATTGTTAATG